GGCACCCACGGGTGGTTGGGCAGCTTGTGCCAGGGCCTCACCACTCTCACAGGGAAGGATTTCTTCCATATATCCTAAATTTCCCTTTTTTCATTTTGCACTTATTGCTGCTTACCACAGAATCGCTGAGGTTGGGAAAGGGCTCCGTGGTCATTGAGCCCAAGCTGTGCCCGATGGCCGCCGCCTTGTCACCCAGCCCGGAGCACTGAGAGCCGCATCCAGGGATGGGGGCTCCACCATTCCCTGATCAGCCCCTTCTCATGCTTGGCAACCCTTCCTTATTCCAACCAAGTTCTTCCTTATGTTCAACTTAAGCCTTCTTTGGTTCAACTTTGGCCGTTCCCTCTCCTCCTGTCCCTGTTCCCTGGCAGCAGAGCCCGACCCCCCCGGCTGTCCCCTCCTGCCAGGGACTTGTGCAGAGCCACAAGGGCCCCCTGAGCCTCCTTTGCTCCAGGCTCAGCCCCTTCCCAGCTCCCTCAGCAATTCTCCAGCCCCTTCCCAGCTCCCTCAGCAATTCTCCAGCCCCTTCCCAGCTCCCTCAGCCCCTCCTGGGGCTGCAGACCCTTCCCCAGCTCCATTCTCTGCACACTCTCCAGCTCCTCTGTGCCCTTCCCTAATTTAGGGAATTTTTCTGTGCTGGGAGTACACACTGCTGGCTCACAGTGAGGTTTTCATTAATCATCACCCCTAATATTTCTCCGTAGGGCTGTTCTCAGTCCCTTCTCCATCCAACCTGTGATGCTCAGAGAAGCTGTGGCTGCCCCTGGATCCTTGGAAGTGTCCAAGACCAGGTTGGACAGGGCTTGGAGCAGCCTGGGATAGTGGGAGGTGTCCCTGCCATGGCAGGGGTAGAACTGGGTGGGTTTTAAGGCCCCTTCCAACCCAAACCATTCCATGATTCTGTGATCTTTATTCACAGCAGAAAGTAACAGCATCTGAGTACTGAATTCTCAAGCAGAAGTCAGGGAGAAGGTCAGTGTTAACAAGCAGACAAATCCCACATCAACTCATTCCTGTCTCACCAAATGAAGCATTTCCAGGGCAGGGGCCTCTTTTTCCATATGCACATACTTTCTTTAACACAATTTTTTCCCCAGCTCCTGTGATAATATCACCTTCCTTTTCCTCCCTGGATAATTTCTTTGCCTGCCCCTTTGCCATAATTTCATAACCCACAGTTCAGAGCCTTGGCAGCCAGTGCAGGAAAAAGAAAAAAGAATAAGTCAGCATTTGGGTTTTTTAAAAATTTTTATCTTATTTTGGCATATTTTCTATAGTACAACGTGTATGTTCCTGTCTGTAGGAGAACAGGCATTATTAAGGACTTGTTATTCATTGATTCAGCACTCAGGAATAAATCACTGCTTGCAGCACTCTGCTGACTGCTGTTTTAGGCATAATTGAATTTTTTGAAATTTGTTATTGATAATCCATGAATATTCCGTTCTGCATCAGCAATCAGGTGAAATGCAAAGAGCTGTCTCTGGGTAACAACTGGACTCAATGATCCTAAAGGTCTTTTCCAACCTAAACAATTCTGTGATTATCCCTGGTAATTTGAGATATGTTGAGGAATGAGTGCATCAAAACGTGTTGTGTAATCATGTGTAAATAAATTTACTGCTGTGAGTAAAAAGATTTCTTCAAAGGTACACTGAGCTCCCTATGGGAGCAGCTTGAAAGACCCTGAAAATTATGACTTCATACCTCCCCTGCTTGGTTCCAGGAATTATTTTAAGTGTAATGACTGCTCTGAATTACTTTTATCTCTGTTGTTAATATTACATTGACATTGTCTTGTTTCTTTGTAAAGTTTTGAGAACGAGAAAGGCATAACCTTATCTTTGAGGCATCTTCCTCCAGCCTGTTCCCCTCAGCCCTCCCAAGCTGACAGGAGAAATATCTGCCTCATCTTTCAAGGTTCATGGCAGGATAAAGAGAGTTAATAACCAAGTGACCTAAAGAAAGAAACACATCTTTCATTCTTTTTTCCATGTTCTTTTTCAGTGCTGCCACACAGAGGCAGAGTTGAGGCTGCTTCTAAAGGGAAGGAGTGAAGGAAGAAAATCTTTTTTGGTTAGAAATTACCTGGATTTCCTGCTGGGGACACCCCATCACCCTTCAAGGCTTTTTCCTTGTCCAAGAACTCATATTTTTGGTTGTTTTCCTAAGGTAAAAGGGATTTCCTGGTCAGTTTAAACCTTCCCACCAACACACAACCACAAATTGATCGAGGTTGGGGTTACAAAAATGCCACCACCAAAGAGTCTTTAAGTTTAATGAAAATAATTGTCCCTTTAGATTGAACACTAGTGATGCACAGGAAGAAGCACAAGCCCAGAGAATTGTCTGACAGAGAGAAAATTACAAAAATTTTAACCTGTCTAGTGGAAGGTGTCCCTGCCCATGGCAGGGGTTTGGAACAAGGTGGACTTTGAGGTGTTTCCCACCCAAACCATTCTGGGATATCTTCTCCTGTCCACAGAGCTGCTGGGTTTGATACAGGATGAAGGATGATGAAATAAGAGAGGCTTGTGAAAACAAGAAATCATCTTTTCTCGATGATGTCTGTGCCTCATAAACTCAGATGCTGCAGGTAGGAGTGGAAATGGAAAGTCTCAGCTCCCTTTGGGCTTTGCTCTCTTTTGAGCTGAAAATAAAAATACTCAAACACTCAAATGCCTCGATGTTATCCCCAAAGCTAAAGCCACAGAGATGAACAAATTCTACAAACTCAGTCCATTCTGTAAGTGCTCAAAACCACTCTAAAAAATTGCACAGAAATTGACTCACTGGGTTTCTTTTTTGTAGAATGTTGATTCATTTATATTTTAAATTTGAACAAATTGAAGCAGTTCTATTTTTCCTTATTTTACCTTTTTTTCTATTTTTAAGCATCTTTTTATGTCCTGAGGATGAGCTGAACACTAAACCAGATGAACAAGCTGCAGGAGCCCAGCACTTGCCCACCTGGGGCTGACCTTTTGAAGGACCACTTGAGGAGAGTGGAGGCTTGGCCAGGTGATGATTCCAAGCTCTGCAGTCCCTGGATCAGGTACAGCATCACAGCCCTGACTTCATTTACAGCTCCTGCATTTCTGAAATGCCAAGAGATTATGCAGAGAGCTTTCCTGAGTGTGATCATGTGAGGCAAAGAGACATGAAGTCATTGTCCTAAAGCCCAAGGTGAAACCAGGCTGTCCCAAAAACTCCCAGCCAGGCCTGGAGCTGCATTTTGTAGTGCTGCAGGAAGAACAACTGATCCTGGCTAATTTTTTCTAGATGGTTTTGTTAAGGTGAAGGGGATTTTGTGGTCATACCAACACACAACCACAATTTGAGCAAGGTTTGGGTTACAAAATTACCAGATGTCTGTGAATTTCATGAGTTGTCCAGTTAGAGTGGGCTGTTTCCTGGCTTCATCCTTTTGGCAAAGCTGGCATCCAGAATTCCACTCAGAGCAGTTTTCTGGCCATCAAGGTTAAAAAAATAGAAGTCAAGATGTAATTATTTCTCTGTGGCTCAGGATTCCATTCCAGGAGCTCTATCCATACATGAATGCTTTTTTCCTTCAGAGAAATCCTGTATTTCACAGGAAATAATTTGTTCTTTTTTTCTGGTTTCTGGACTGAAACCCCCAGGGGTGACAGTGACTTCTCAGGAGCCACATTGAGCTCGGTGCATGTGAACATTCCACACTGTCCATGGCTGGGAAGGATTAACAGAATCCCCTCCTCCTGCTTGGACATTCCCCCCTGGAAAGCACATTCCCATCCAACAGGCCCATTTCCTTCTGCTCCACAGCACCTGAGCTGCCTCAGCCAGGCTTCACAGGGCCCACGGTGTTCAAGGGTTCAGATTTTTGGGAGCAGAGAGTTTCCCATCATCGGCTCTGCACGATCAGTTTGATGCTTCCCACTTTGGAAAACCACTTGGAAGACCTCGGAATTATTCTCACAATCCTCTCTGAGCTAAGAAACCCCAGTAACTGCTAATTATTCGGTAATTAATTGTCTCTCTGGGGTTGTAATTGTGGGTGTGGCCTCTCCCCATCATTGTGTGGTCGTTAGGCAGCAGTTTCCTCAATGCCCAAACAAATTCTGTCTTTCCCATTTGATTGGATTACAGAATTGCCTTCAACTCTGTGGAGATGATGAGGAAAAGTGTGGTTCTGCACAGGAGTTACCATGGGAACTAAAGTAGGGAGAGATCTTTGTAAACCAGAAGTCAAGCAGACTGTGTTTCAGACAATTAATATTGTCTCATTCACGAGCTTTAACCCTTCTGTGTTCCAATGTAGTTTTGACCTCTTTTTCCATATCAAATGCTGTGTCAAAGAGGTTCTGCTCCCATGAGAATGCTGTGTCAAAGAGGTTCTGCTCCCATGAGAATTCATCCCTCATTCTCCTGCAAGTCCACCTTGCAGCCCTGGTTAGCTTCAGTTCCCCTTCTGCTTTGCTTTCTGGGCATGGGGACATCTCTGAGGGCATCCAGGTAGGATTTGGTTTGGGACTGGGACACAGATGTGGGGACAAGTGTCCAGGCTCCCATCCTGTCACTGTAACCAGAACTGGTGGCTCAGCTGAGCAGCTCTCATTGCTTCTCCTGCATGAACCCCTCTGCTCTTTTCCAACACCTTGGACCCCTCAAATCTTCTTTTCTTCTACTTCCATGTTTGGCACTTTAATTAGCAAAGTGATTATTTATTATTTTCCTTCAGGCCTCTGCCTGGCTTTGTGAACAGGAGGAATTCCCCTCCCAAGGGAATTCATTATTCATGTCTTTAAAAAGCCAGCTCCTCCTCATCCCCCTCCCCTGTGTGCTGCTGACCTCCTTCCCTTTGCTGGATACGGAATTACTCATTTTCCCAGGGGCTGATCCATCACTTTGTTGCTTCAGCTCTTCACAAACAATATTTCTGTCCCACCAGAGGCAAAAGCTGAGTTCAGCATAAAACTACTTCATTTTCCAGCTGCTGTTCAGATCACAGGGCCTTAATCCCGCTTTTTCCACCATCCCACCTGCAGCCACTGTTCATCACCTTGGAAAAGGCAAGAGCCAAACCACCAAATTCCCAGTTTCTAATCAAAATCAGGGAAGAGTGAGACAACCTCAGAGAATCCCAGGGGAGAATTAGCATTGCATGAGGCAAACCTCCTCCTTTCCCCAGCTCCAGTCTCCAAGTGCTGAACTGATTTTGGCAGAAACCTTGCAGAATATTTGTTCTGAGGCAGCCTGGAATACGTCAGTGGGAGAGATTTCAGCTCAGGGAGATAAGAAGAGACTGGAAGCAGGGGCTTGCAGTGGGAAATGTTGGGCAGCCAGAAATTGAGGTGTTGGCATTTCCTCTGCAGATTTTGTTGCAAAATATGAACAAACCAGAGAGTGCAGAGCAAAGAACATGGGCTGAGGACCCTCTCACACAGAGATCAAAATTACAACTTCCTGCCCCTTAAATCCTTCTTTGTCCAGATGTAAATCCCCTCTGAAAAACAGAGCTGGTTTTTCATCCCTTTGCATTCTGAAAATTGCTCTTGGTCCTGGGAGACAGCAAATACTGTGCTGATTGAAACCCATTTTGCTGTGTTTTAGTGATGAGAAACCTGTTGCCCTGAGGCCAGCACAGGAATCTGCCTGAGGGCGGCCAAAGACATGGAGAGAGAAATGATATTAAAACTGTTTCCTTGTAAAATGTCACTTTTGCAGGAGCAAAGTCTGGGAAGGTATTTTTGTGCTGATTTAGGAGCTCCAGCAGACCATACAAGCACAGGCCTTGTTCAGACAGGACCAAAAATAGGCCGTGTTTAACTCCACAGTCCATAAAAACATTCCAGTTAAGTCCATTCTATCCTTAAAAATCCACGAGGCAAGGGAGATGTCAGCACACCTTGAATCTCCCTGTCACTGTGGAAAAGGAAGCCTGTCCAACCCGAGAAACTGGAAAAAGAACCAGAAATCTTTTTTTCTGTGCTTATTGTGGCCATGTGGATGCATCCCCAGGCACCTGCAGAGCAGTCCCAGCCTTGGGCAGGCAGTAAAGCTCAAACCTGTGTGTTCACTGCAGTCCCTGAGGCTGGAGGGATTGTTCTGGGAAGCTGGGAAGGAAGTGATGTTGCTTTTGAAGCTGAAAATAATTCTTTCAGATGACTTAATCTGTAGCAGACCCTTTACTTCACTGTAGGAGCTAAGGCTGATGAGAGGCAGGTCATGACCTTCTGGAAGATTCTGTTGGATTATTAGATCAGATTAGATTAGATTGGGTTATTTTTCCTGGATATTGAGGTCACAAGGGGAGAGAGGGATAGGCTGGTTTTCCACATATCCCCAGGCCTGCAGGTGCTCTTCATGGGGAGTCACCTCACTCCTCCTTTTCTTTCCATCACTATTCAACTGACTTCTGTGGGGGAATTGCTGCCAGCCTCTTTCTAGCCATGTCCTCACCGCTGGGATCAAACCCTCAGTGCCAGGCAGTGCCACAAATAAAACCCTGGAAGCGTTTGTGCCCTCAGGAAGAGCCAGGCTGGCAGAAAGCCTGCTGCTGCCTCATTTTCAAAAGGGATTTTAAATCAAATTGGGGTGGATTTTGGGTTTTTTTTCTTTAAACAAGACAACTCAAATGGAGAGCTCAGCTTCAAAGAATCAAACAGAGCAGCACAGAAAAAGCTCCAGAGCATCTAAAGAGGCAGAGAATGACACTCCTGACCCTGGTGAGGCCAGCAAGGCACACAGAGCTTCCAAAGTCGTTGGCTTTGAGCACAAGGGAACATTTCTCCTTGTGACTCTTTGCCAGCAAAAAAGAGAAGCACAGTGGCAAGAGAATAAAACTGTTCTTCCAGAAGGAACCAACATGTCCAGCCAAATATCTGCTCATTGACACCGGTGGGCTCTGAGTCAGGCTCACCAGAGGATGAACAGCACACGAGGATTTTCCATGGAAAATTCTCCCTTGCTTTTCTCCCTGGAAAGGCCTTCTGTGAGTAGCCCCATTTCTGGCTGGTGGTGATGGATATTCACTCTCCTGGGCTGGGGTTAGGATGGCAGGAACTTGCTTAGACCCCCCAAAAAACCCTTGACATCCAAACTCCAAACCTCTGAGACTGAAAGAATTTAGATCTCACTCTGGCCTTTATTATTTACATTTGGTTTTTCTGGCCATGTGATTTTGCCTTTATACAGTTGGGTGTGCATTTGCCACACTCGTTCCACCAAACAGCTTGTAAGGTTTGCTAAAAACTTCTGCTATTTTTATAACTAATATTCCCTTTGGCTCTGTGGGGATTGCAGCCCCAGGGGGCTGTGAGGCACTGGCTGTGATAAGGATGGATCCTGCTCACTCACAGGGAGGCTGTTTTTGTCACACTGTCCCTTTCTCTGCTGCTGTCACTGAGGGCCCGAGGGGTTACACTGAGCTACCTGCAGAGAGGAGCTGGCTGAGCTTCATGTCCTCTGTAAATTCAAATGGAAACCAATTTTCACTAGCAAAATATGGATTTATTCACCGCTTTGCAGTAAGAACAGAGTCACTTTAATCTGCTTTCAGGGCATAATTGAGTCAGTGCCTCTGTAATAAGAGCTCTGTCCCCTGTTCCTCAGAGGGGGTTCTCTGTGGCACATTTATCCACATTCCTGCTGGGAAGAGCCCTGAACGAGCTGCCCACGCTGTGACTGCTGTGTGGGCTTATGCAAAATGTTCCTTCACCCACCATCCCTACCTGCCTCTGCCTTAAAATGTCATTGAGAAACCAGCCCAGAACCCAGTGGAGAAGCTTCTCTGCAAGGAATCTGCTCCAGCATGGACCTGCTGACCTGGAGGTGGCAATCCCAAATCTGCTGCAGAGTTTGAAAAGGGATGGGGGTTTGTTTGGCATTCAGAGGAAGAGCATGGGGGACATCTGGTTATGTGAAATCATAAAGGAATTGACATGTTTGGGGTGGAAGGGACCTTAATGGTCACCTTGTCCTGTGACAAGGGACACCTTCCACTGTCCCAGGCTGCTCCAATCCCTGTCCAGCCTGTCCTTGGGCACTTCCAGGGATCCAGGGGCAGCCACAGCTGCTCTGGGCACCCTGTGCCAGGGCCCCACCACCCTCACATCAGGAATTCCCAATTCCCAATCTCCCATCCATCCCTGCCCTCTGGCACTGGGAGCCATTCCCTGTGTCCTGTCCCTCCATCCCTTGTCCCCAGTCCCTCTCCAGCTCTCCTGGAGCCTCTTTAAGCCCTGGAAGATGCTGTGAGATTTCCCTGGATCTTCTTCAGGTGAGCACTCCCAGCTCTCCCAGCCTGTCAGAGGAGCTCCAGCCCTCAGAGATCTCCATGACCTCTTCTGGGCTCACTCCAACAAATCCTTGTATTCCCGTGCTGAGGACCCCAGAGCTGGACACAATATTCCAGCATGGTGAGCGCAGGGCTCCTGCCCCACAGGAACAGAGGAGGCAAATGATGGGAGAGAGTCTGAGCATCAAACATCAAACACAGGAAAAGTGGGAGCCAGAGGTTTCTATCAAGCATCTAAAGCAGAAGCTGGAGCCAGGAGGAATTTTGATAGAATGGGTCCACAAAGGAACAGCTTTTCCTAGCACTCAGGCTTGCCTCTCATTTCCATTTATTTCTGCTGTTCCTCACATCAGCAGCAGCAGTGTGCTGCTGGAATCAAACTGAATCTCCAGACAAGCAAACAAACAGGCAACAAATCCTCCCCAGGAGAAAGGGGTTCATTTTGTGGGTACATAACGCAAGGCAGCGATGGCAGGGAGAGGAACTGGCACTGCTGAACTCTGCTCTTTAGCAAAATCCATCACTTCCCTTCCCTCTCTGTGCCTGAGCAGTCCCAGGAATCCAGCACCTCCTGCACAGACGTGCCTCATGCTGCCTCTTCTGCAGCAGCATCTCCTCCTCGCCTGTCTGCCAGCTGCAGTGAGATAAGTCAGGTTTAATCACTCCCAAGTCTTACTCATCCAGCGTTTGTGGGGTTGCAGCAGCAATTTCATGCAGATCAGTAACTCCTGAACGCTTTAAAAGTGTTGATTTCACTACCTTCATAATAGCATTATAGAATCATAAAATCATGGAATGGTTTGGGTTGGAAGGGACCTTAAAAACCCTCTTATTCCACCCTCTGCCATGGGCAGGGACACCTTCCACTATCCCAGGCTGCTCCAAACCCCATCCAGCCTGGCCTTAAACAGGTATGAGATGGCAGGGGGATGGTTTTAAGGCAGAAAAGGGTAAATTTAAGTTGGATATCAGGAAGGAATGTTTCCCTGTGAGGGTGGGGAGGCCCTGGCACAGTTGTCAGAGAAGCTGTGGCTGCCGCATCACTGGAAATGTCCAGGGACAGACTGGGATAGTG